AAAAAATCCCAACCTTGACAGATTGTACGAATTGGTCAAATGTTTGATGTAATTTAAGCATTTGAAAAATGTAATCAATATCCTTGTAAAAATAAAAGTTGAAGTATTTCCACCCTTAACATTCTCAAGGTATTGGGAATGAACCACTGTATAGCCTAAAGAAAACCACTTATCACAGAGACTTTAAAAATGTGCTTGAATTTTCTAGGGGGCATAAAAATTGGACTCTGGTGCAATGAAAAAAGATAATGTGGTATGATGAGTCTGGATTCAGCCTATTCCAGAACACATTGGGGGGATTTGCTTTCCTCATGCCTCATGGCTACCCTTCAAGCCAGTGGGGGCAAAATTACAATCTGGGGTTGCTTTCGTTGGTCAACTCTGAGCTTAGCATGTTACGTGGCAACTTATCTAGTCAAAAGGTGTGGTAATGATATCTGAATATTTTGAATGACCAGGTTTCTCCATCAATATTCTTTTTTACCCTGAGAGAAAAAAATGGTTTCATGATGACGATGTCAGGATTTACTAGTTTTAAATAGCTGAAGAGTGGTTCCAGGGACATAAGATAATTTACATACAAGTTGGTAACAACAGAATCCAGACCTTCATGGTTTGGGATGTGCTAGACTTTAATGACTTTGATTACTTTAATTTTTAAAAAGTCTCAGCTGTCTGACTTTATTTTAGATATGAGAGGTTGTCAAAACATCACAGCAGTTCTTTCGGATATAAATCAGCATTTTGACTTTGCCAAATGTCATCCATACAATATCACATCAGGTGTACTGCAGCAAAGGCTGGTCACGGACGGTAAGAAGGCCATTTACTCTGATTCCGTCACAACTGCACACTGTCGCCTGGCAACAATCACAGGAATTTCATTAAGAAAAAGAAAATCTTCTTTTAGAAAAATCAAACAGTAACCGATTGCAAAACTAGTAGTGATTATGTTATCATTTCTGGAAATGCACAGTGTGTATGACTCTGATGTATTAACAGAAATAAATTGGAAAACTTGCAGACTCAAAACAGACATCCTTACAAGTATGCATGTACATGTTTTACAGACAGGTGATTAATTTAAAGTAAAGATAAGCCTACATCCCCAAACACTGGTAGCTCTGCTATGCTGTGGAGGGGCACTTTGCTGACATGATTTGGAGGGTCCACTTGAGGGTCCGAGGGTGAGTGATCACTTTTATCCTTTGATGAGGCATTTCACTCATGTTGATGGAGGTGAAAGCGCCCCATCCTTAGGTCACATATGGAATACAAATATGACATACAGTACATCATATATATATATATAGACCTTTACAGTCACCAGATATCACCTCAATGTATTACCCATCATACGTGTTCAATCAGTGAGTTAGCCTTCCATATTGTCATCATAAACATCTACCGAGAAAAAAAAGCTTAGAAAAAATCGTTTTTTCCATATTCACTTTGTGTTTGAGAGGGTTTTAGCCTCATTACCATGGCACAATGAAGCAAATATTGTTGCATATGCCGTTGTTAAGTTTAGGCACACATTCACATACGTTGGATTACATTTGTGCATAATTCAAATTTTTGTTGAAGATGTAGTCAGTTATATTAAAAGCTTTAACGTAACCATATAAATTCTAAATACTGGATCAAATATAAATTAGAAAAGAGGATGGAATGATTAGCAAGTCTAATGCAACAATATGCAGCCATGGACAGCGAAACAAAGAAAACATATCAAATGTTAATTATGACCCACGTTCACTATTTCTTAAATTATATTATCTCATCTTGCATTTGATGGTAGGAACAAAGATTTTGGGTCAGGGTCAACAAAAGACTGGAAAAGTAAGAGAGACTGAAGGAAACAGATGGAGGAACATGCTGCAATTAATTAGGTTAAGTGGCTACATGTCTGTAACATGATTTTGAATAAAAAGAGCTTCTTAGAGAGACAGGTCTTACAGTTGTAAAACAGGAAGGGAAATAGCAATCTGCAAAAGAAAATGTATCTGCAATTTGTGGAGCGGTTTGAGAAAAAAAAATCAAATTTGTAAAATTGCAAAGACTAAATGGTTAATCATCTACAGTACACACTATAACTGGGAGGTTATGTGATATGTCTGCTATGTGTGTAAGAGTTAAGACTAAACAATCCATAAGGGATACCTGGGATCTTTCTACAGATGTCACTGATTTAAAACAAACATGATTCTCTCCTGGAAATCCCTGCACAGCTCAAGAATATTTTAAGAATTCATTGTCTAAACAGTTCATTTCGCCATCCATACACAGGGATTTAAGCCCTATAATGCAAAGATGAAACTATATACGAACATGATCCAGGAGCTCTACTGTTTTAGTGGGAGCAGGCTCATTTCAAAGAGCAGTGGCAAAGTGATAAACTGTTGGAAAGAACATTTAAAATTAAAAAGCCACAGCACAGTGGTAAACAACACCTTGTCCCAAGGTTATCAAATCCTGGAACAGGTAATAAAACATATGTTTTTGTTATTCAATTTTTTCTATGTTCTATTGTAAGTTCAATTCTGGCTTATGAGATTTAAAACTCACTGTGTTCCCATGTATTTACATTCTGAATTGGCATTGCATTTAATGAGGGACTGAATAATGCAAACCTTTTCCATTTCAATCTTCCTAGGACACAGACACCAAAATATTACTTTACATTGCCTAGGAAGGATAAATTAATATCCATTAGCACAAGTTATTTAACATAGATAAGCAGAATACAGAAAACTGAAATTAAAAAGGAAGAAAATGACAAACTTCAAAAACATAAACAGAGGAAATACAACGTCAATTCTGCACAATAACATGTCATAAAACTTACATTTGAAATTTTGATAAACCATTTTCTCATTACCAAACATGGGAAAGATAATTGAAAAATTCAAACTGGAAGGGGAAAATTAAATAGATATTTCTGCGTATATTCCACATCTGGGACTAATTCAGAAGCAGAAGTGCCTGAAGGGCCTGTCTCTAACAAAATTGGTTTACCAAAGCAGAATGTATGAGTTCACACAGTGAGGGCAACTGCTTCCTCCTGCCTCTGTCGAAATCAACGGCAGAGGTCTCTCAGCTGAAAGTGAAGCTTACTGTGGTGGTAGATATGCCCAGGATCATAATCTGAAGGCAAAACTTGCCTTTAGGCACACACAAAAAATGAGCCCCTTTTGGTGACAGCAGTGATTCACTAACTGTAGCTAAAAATAATTGGCTTTGCTTATCCACGCCTTTATGGACTATAACAACTGACAGCGCCAATACATCCAATTCAGAAAATCTACTATTTGAGGATATTAAATAGAAGACAGATGACCCTGTACTTTTTAGTGCACAATGTTTGAAAAATTAAAACTTTGACTTCATTGTTTTTCACAAACTGAACTGGTGTTTAAGCCCAGACGGCGTGAAGCATCTCAAAATGAAAATGTAATATTGACTTTTAACATTAAAAATAGCACTCGTGCCTCTGACTTAACCAACAGTTGTGTCTGACATAAAATAATAGAGATCACATCATCAAATTAAACCAAGTCATATCATGTATAAACTATTTAAATGGTCAAAAATCACATTCCATCCATAGATAAAACTCCATTATTTATTCAGGGAACTTCTTTCTCACTTCTTGACTCACATTTTCACAGTAAAACAACATGACAGCATGAACACACATGAAGCAGCCGCTGACTCATCTCCCACACTTATGTCAAGGCTGATCTGAGTCACAAGTTCCATGTTCATCAGAAGAGGCACTTTGGTTTTAAGCTGGAGGATGGTGATACTTGCGGCTTGGGAAGGAAGGACCCATCACTCACTTCATTCTCTCATTCTCTCAGCTCCATCCCTTTCATTCTGTGTTGGCATTTTTTTACATACCTCCTTTTCTACATATTTTCTTGTTGGGTTTCCTCGCACATTCCTTGGATATTCTTTTGACTGTAAAATGAATGGAAAAACTACAAAATAACAGATAGCTCTGGAAAAGATCCCATGAGACATGCAACAACTCAGACTGAGTCAGACCCCATCTTCTCCCCCTTTCCCTCCCTCTCCAACCCAACCATTCTTCATCAACAACGAGAACAACAGAGGACCTGTTGAAAAAAAGTATCTGGGGTGTATCTGCAGAAATATTCCAGAATAATGGAATGAATTTGCTGCACCTTGGGACACAAGAAGCCCATATTCACATGCACTTCTATCTAAGACCCATTACAGCCACACAGAACACAAAGAGGCCGCGTTTTACAAAGTTTTTCACTTGCAAGTGTTATTTGAAGGTGTCCATTTGATTTTTAGAGCACTTAACATTTCAAGCCCATTCTTCTGTGTGGCTCTCCTAAAGAGGTGAATAATCGGGGCCTTTTAAAAAGTCAACATTCAAAAATCCAAAACATTTTGCACTGTCATCTCTTAAGAGGCCAATCTTTGGGTTTTTTTACACAGAAAACTGTACTGGCGCTGCACTTTGTGCAAGAAATTGAATGAAAAAAAGGAGAGTAAAGGGTCTTACATAGGTCAGGCGGATGCCACAGGCCTCTTATGTACTTAACAGAATATTTCACCAACCCTACAGGAGATCATTCACTTATGAGGCAGGCTGGTGTTGCTAATATCCCCAGAACAGTCAAGACAGTGAGGGTAGGAAGGTGCACCGAGTACTTCCAATATGTTTTTTGTATGATTTCTCTTATCTTTTCTATTTTGTCACATTGAGAAGTCATTATAAGTCATCAAAAGAGGAACCTCTAACAGTGGCATGGAAGGGGAGAGTTGATGAAAAGACTAAATGAAAGATCTAGTTGAGATGGAACGTTGAGATGATGGAGACGGACACAGCATGCGCCAGACAATAGGTCATGCTCCCCGCATTAAACAAAAGTGACACGGAGTTTAAGAGAAAGAACTGAAGGAGAGGGAAGTAGAGAAAGGAGAAGAGAGGAGAGTTTTGGTTTCATACTCGACACACTCACCATCCTCTGTTGGAACATAGATGTTTAAGTAAAGACAATCCTCGTGTTGATCCTGTATGTATGTTGTGACTATATCCAGGTTGAAGGTGAACCATATTGGCATCATGATCTCTGGCACAGCGTTGTGAATATTTTGGGGACAGACGGGAGCAAAATGAGTCGCATTCTTTATCCCTGACCAGGAAGAAGGAGGCTCGGGGGGCATGAAACGCTTCTCTCCCACCGGGGAGGCTGCATATGGGACCCCGAGATACTGGTCAACCGGTCCCAGAATCTCACTGGGCAGGGGCACCCTCACCCCTCTAAGTTTTCCGTACTGCGTGTTCACAGTGGGGTGATAGGTTTGACTTCTTACAGTTGAAAAGCACCAGCAAAAACTTAACACCCAAAAAGACAGGCTGAAATTGGTGCACTTGTAGGCACCGTGCCAGTTCTGCAAAGGGAAACAATTTCTCCTTGGAGAAAACCACATGGTCCCTGTGAGCAAGAGCAAGTAGAGGTGACCAACATAAAAGATGGGGCACGCCCCTCAGCAAACACCCGGGCTTGCCGTTAAGCCCTTTTTTCCAGCCTCCTGAGGGACAGTCATCAGCTGTGATGTTGGCGTCCAACAGCTCACAGACAATGGAAAACAATCGTAGATAGTAAGTTCCTCTCTTCAGCAAGGTCCTTACTCACTGTACTCTCTGCGCAAGTCAGATCTTCAAGCCAGTGCTGCAAAAGAGGAGGACAGGAAAATTAATGACAGTTCCTTGACAACCCACCATTTTTAGTCAGTCATTTTTATTGACTTGTGGAGTCCTTTCCTGTCATGACATAAAACAGCTCACATAAACATGACAGAGCTCTTAGTGCCATCATCAATCCATATTGGTATTAACTGCGGGGCAACTTGTCAAGTTGTGCCTAATAATGCTAATAAGACAATTGAAATGGGGAAGGGATCAACTGTCAGCACGCAATTATTCTCTACTTTAAAGGCTGACATTTATCAGTGAAAGGAATAGAAATATTTTCAGGAAATGTTCAATTCAGCAACAGGAGTCATGCAGAGAAACATAATAACATGATCAAAATTTCTTGGCCAGTTTAATGTCATCGAGCATTTTCCCCACATCTCCCTCTGGTGCAGAAATGAGCATATTGGAAATTAAGTTTCATGCCTCTTGTTTGCTCTTAGAAATGATCACATCTTCGGATGAGCAGAGGGCCGGGCAGAGGGAGCTGTAGCTGCAGGCTGCACAGGTGCCTTCAGTGAAGGTAAATGCTAATCAACAATCCCAGAGTGAACCAGTGATGCCAGGAACAACGCCTCCCCATACTGCCTGATCAATTTTCAATTTCTGTGGCTTAGGGTCCCCTTTAGCCTTGTGTGCCAGCTGCCACACTCGCTTTAATAACTATGGAAAAGAAAACCCAGCATTTAGAGTAGGATATTGCATTCCAAAATGACTGTGTAAATGATTTATAATGTATCAACAGCTATTGGAGGGCCCCTAACCAGTGAGAGAAAGTGATCGTGACGCTCTTGGGAGGGCTGTTATCGCAAGGCAACTGTTCTGATCTGCAGAAGCAATGTTTGACGGATTACCTGCAGGTCAAATATACATGCTTAGTCGGACGTAAAAGTCCTCGCTTCATGGACAACATATGCATGCATTTTGTTCATCCTGCTGTCATTTATTCTTGTGGAAATTAAATGTGTGTGGTGGACCATACTGCTTGGGGACTCCTGCACAACCAGAACCTGCTATGTTATAACACACAAAAAGCCATCCATATCCAATCTGGGTACTAAAAGGCAAGAATTGCTTGGGGCCAAAGACTGGCAAAGGCTTCAAAATGCTGGAGAAGTCATACTGACAAAGTTCCTTCCCTGCTCAGTAGGATCCCTGATGCAGAGAAAAAAAAAAGCTTGCAGACTTTACTGTCATATCCCATTCAACAGTATTATGAGATCAAAATCTAAAGTTTGTCATTTACACTTTTGTTTTTTTTCTGACGGCAAATGAACACAACATGCCCGGGCAACATGGCATTTTATATTCTGCAATAATGCTAATACAAAATACTCAGCTCAATAAGAGAGAATCTCTATAAAACCCAACATTTAAATATTTAATTGAAAAATAGCATATTTAACATTTCTATGGCAATTTATGCCACCAACACGGCACAAAAGTTGGACAATAAAGATTTAAGACGAAAGTTTTATAATGCCACAAATGAATAACACAACTAAATAAATCACTTCACAAGATGTTGCTAACATGACTTCATATTAAAATAAAAACATTCCAGAGCAGCTGAGGCGCTCAGAAGTAAAGATTTGAGGGGGCTACACTTACAGAACAACCGTTTTAAGAATCTGGTATATCTGAATGTTCATTTACAAATCTTTTGGGGATTTAATGCTCAACATTACATCACATAATTAAAAGATTAAGAGAATCCGGATGAATCACAGACCGGTCTCAAAACCAGCATTAAATGTCTGTGATCCCACAGGCAGCGCTGCATTAAAACAGACATAAATCTGAGGTGATAAATGACTGGGCTAGCTCAAGAACCATTCGGAGAACTATCACTCCTTTGACAAATCCAAGTTAAACAGTAACCATGCAAAAAACACTTATCGAAAAGACTATTATCGAAAAGATCTCTTTCTTTTCTGTTCACTTGCTCATTAGATAAAAGACATGGTTAAAACAACTCCCATTTGATATGATTCAAACTAAAATGATTTTTTGTTTAAATTATGGGTGCTGGATTCTACCAAGCTGATGTTGAGAGGAAATGTCCATCTTGTTGAGAGTTTGCAGCTCAAAGCCAGTATTTGCAATGGTACGTTGGTTCATATGCATGGAAAATCCCTCATCTGTGTTTTTGCAATTAAAACATAAAAATATCGGCTTTTGTTCAACATCTACAACTATTCTCTCGCATTTTCCAAAGTTACTATTTTTTGTTTCAGCAAAGCAATGCTAAACTTGCAGGATCAACATCCTACAACATTTCATGACTAAATATAACATTCTGAGCACTGGACTTAACTAATACTGAAAACCTTTGCCTAATTTCCTTTAAAGAAAAATGCGACAATAATGACAACATTTTTGATTACATGCAACATTAAAATTAATTGTAATTGCACCCAACTAATTTACCAACATCATAAAATAAACCCTTTAAGATAAAAAAAAACTTTTACAAAGAGAAATAACTTGAAGACATTGCTGCCATATCCCTTTCAAAAGTATCTTGAGATAAAAATAATAACAATACTTTCTAAAACTGCATTTTAAAATATTCACAAATTGTTGAACTTCAAATAGGAATCAGTCAAAGAGTGATGAGGAAAATTGGCTGGAGAGGGAAACCTTTGAGGTTCTTTTCCAATCCTGTTTCAGCTCACAGTCAACTCAGTCACATGTACGACTTTTGCGGGTAGATAGCAATAGATTTTGATTCCATGACCAGAAAAATATTATTTTTCGAACTTGGTGTTTAAATGACCTCCCAACGTATCTACAGATTAATTGTTACATTTGCATAAGATGTTCAATTCCGATTTTAACTGCTGCCATTTCTTGTTATACCTACACACAGCTGTGGTATACATGTTATAACACTAATTCTACTCACCATTAAATACATCAGGTCAAACTTTTTAATCAGGTCAGTGCAAGGACGCAAGACATGGTGATGGAGGGTATGTGTTTAGAGGACACACAGCACAGAGGACTTCATCAGTCTCTTTTCCAACAGCATCTCAGAGGTCCTCTCTTCTTTGATCTCTCTACCTGCTGAAGCACTGCCAAGGGAGGAACAGCGAGAGGGAGAAACTGCATGAGTTCTCCCTCATCATCCCAGGAATATTGATCGTCTCATCACTGTGGCCTTGCAGCCCATAATAAATACAACTGGGGTGATGGAAGTAGGAGGAGAGGGTGTGAAGGCAGGAGAATGGAGGGGGGGGGGGTCCGTTGTGTTGTACTGAATTTCAGTCAGGTTATTAGCACTTAATGTGGAATGGCACTCCACACTGTACATGCCGTTAAACACCCTCCTTCCCAATTCTTCTGTGCCTGATTTGTGGGATATGTTCAGTCCTGTTAGTCCAATTCCTATTCATCAGTATTCAAAATGACCTACTGCTACAACACATGAGTCATTCCCTTACTGATCCCATACATAGAATGAAATACATAGACTTAATTCCCCTTCATTTCGGTCCAAGCCTACGGCCATGCACTCATACTGTAGAAGACCCTTTGTTCTCCTACAGCAGAGAAATCTCTGCATCGCAATAAAAGTCTGAGCACAGAGCAAAATGTACTCCTACGCCCCTGCATCCCTTAGAGTGCGGCTGAATGGACTCTGATAAAATAGGAACCAATAAGGGTTCTGAGTAGATGGAGCATCTGACTCTCCACCCTCTGTTATTATAGTAACTAGTCTGCTGCAAAAGCATTCACAAAGCTGCATTAGTCCCTAGAACATCTAATTTCAAATGAAGCAAGTCATCCTGACCTGAGAACGTGTACTTCCTGATTGCATCTGAATCTAGCCTCATTACACTGCTACCAAGGCAAAACTCACAGTTATTGAAAAGAAAGAGACAGGCAACATGAAGCACACTAATATGAAAGAAACCAAAGTCCTCAATCTGTTATCAGAGCTGAACTCATTTAAGTATAAGAGGCAACATCTTGATATCCTCCACTTGCATTTTAGAAAGGCACCAGTCTACATCAATATAAAACTTCCATTTCCATGCAAGATCTGCTCATGAGACAATTGCGCTGTGGTCTCTGTGTTTCAAACAATAACGTGAAAAGTATATCTGCATATTGCCTGCTTATACATTGTCTACCATAACCTTATTTCAAATACGGAAGAATGTACAGGAAAAACTGTAATGAGATTACACCCTTGCTGCCTGACGAGCCTGATGAACAGCAGCGTGCCATTTTAAATCAAGGTGATTGGCATGTTTCAGAAATAACATTTGTGAAATGTCAAAACCAAACTGAAGCCTCATAAGGTTCCTGCTGGGAGCCGGTGCCACTGTTACAGAGCGGAGTGAAGACCTAGTCATCTTTCGCTTTCAGACACAGACCCTGTGCAGTCATTATTACTTAGAGATTTGGCATTAAATCAAGGACAGCAACGCTGCATTCTGACTGCTAATCACTGGGGCGATGCTGACATATTTTTAAAGAAGCAAAAATGAGATGGTGAGCAATGATGACGCTGCTGCTGTGGCCGCCTACTAAGCTTTGTGTCTCCACCCCATCTCTTGGCTGCTGGATAAAGGCTGCCATGAGTAGCACTATCAGCCAAACAGCCAGGGAACACAGAGGGGTGAGTTAGTAGGCCAAATAAAGACAGATTCCAGGTGAGCACAGGTTCAGACGAATTCCATGGCTGCACAGGAAATAAATAATGGCCTCTCTGTTAACTGCTGACCATGCTTGAAACAACTGTTTGCACTTTGTGACTAAAATGATAGGGACAGATTTGATCTACAAGTCCTGAAGCTGCAGGAAGAGGCAGCGAGCCCTTTCTTACATCTATATATTGTCTCTCTTTCTGTGTGTGTGTACTTCTGAGCGTCAAATCCACTTAAGGAAACAATATGATATGGGAAACAGTAACACAAGGTTACAGGGATATTAATCAAAGCTAACCAGCTCATTAAAAGGAAAAGG